TGGAGATACACCTGGCGAGCTGCATGCAGAGGGGCTGTATTAGAGCCGTTATTTAGTAAACCACGCGATAGAAGGATCAGCAGCAATGAGGCCCCCGGTGAGGTGTATAGACACCGTGGGGTGTATAGGCAGCTTGGGGTGTATAGGCAGCTCGAGGTGCCTATACACCCGGTGGCTCTGTATACAAAACCTGGGGTGTATATGCAGCGTGCCTTCGCCTCATCAGACACCAATACAACCGAAATAAATGCAGCAACAGCAGCAACAGCAGCAGCAGCAGCAGATGCAGCAGCACAACCACCCTCATCACCACCACCACCATCAGCAGCAGCAGCAGCAGCAGCAGCAGGAGCAGCAGCAGCTCCCTCTTCTTCTTCTGGTGGTGTTTTCTATCCTGATGGTGTGATAGAAGAAATATCTATAGAAGAGAGAATGAGGATGATAGCGTGGCTAGCTAAGCACAACGCCATAGATATCTCTTGCTTCACAGCCAGAGCTAAATATTTTAGTAAAGAGGAAATAAATAATATAATAAACAATAAAACAAATTATAATATAAATAATATAAATAAAAATATAAATAATATAAATAATAATAATAATATTAATGATAGTAATGTTAATAAAAATATAAACAAAGAAGGGTACCGGCCTATCGATTACTCATGGCTAGAACTACAACTCAACTTGTCTCAGCCTTCCTCCTCCTCCTCCTCTTCTTCTTCTCCCCCCTCTCCTTCTTCTTCTTCTTCTCCCCCCTCTCCTTCTTCTTCTTCTTCTCCCCCCTCTCCTTCTTCTTCTCTTTCTTCTCCCTCCTCTTCTCCTTCTCTTTCTTCTCCCTCTTCTCCCTCTCCTTCTCCTTCTTCTCTTTCTTCTTCTGTTTCTTCTCTTTCTTCTCTTTCTTCTCCCTCCTCTCCTTCTCCCCCATCTCCCCCTTCTCCCTCTTCTCGGTTACAGGACGTCTTACGCCAGGCGTCAGTCCCTACAGCGATAAGAAACGGGCGTTTATTGGAGTTATTGGATTGCTTTTCAGCTGATGTTGCTTTCAATTACTGCAGGCCGTATATACAGCTCACGCCAGATAAACAATACCTCTTTCTCACAGTTTCTATTGACTCCATTCATCTCTTTGGGAATCGTAGCACCAGCAACAGCAGCAGCAGCAGCAGCAACAGCAGCAGCAGCAGCAGCAGCAGCAGCAACAGCAGCAGCAGTAGTAGTAGTAGTTGTAGTAGTAGTGGTAGTGGTAGTGGTAGTAATGATAGTAGTAGCTGCAGCAGCAACAGCAGCGACAGCAGCAACAGCAGCAACAGCAGCAACAGCAGCAACAATAATATAAAAAATAAAAGCGATGGTGTTGATGATGGTGGGGTTGTTGTTTATAAGAAATATAATGATGAGGGTTTTCGTTATCTTTCTGTAGAAAAAGATTTAATATTAAGAGGCTTTGTATCCTATGCTGGCAGCTCTTCTGTTGAGATCACTGCTGAACTCTATCAGGTTTGTCTCCTCCTGCTGCTGCTGCTGCTGCTGCTGCTGCTGTTGGTGGTGGTGGTGCTGCTGTTGCTGCTGCTGTTGGTGGTGCTGCTGCTTGTGCTGTTGTTGGTGGTGGTGGTGGTGATGCTGCTGCTGCTGATGTTGCTGTTGTATAACTTGTATATATGTTTAATATATATACATATATATACATATATATACATATATATACATATATATACATATATATACATATATATAC